CGTCTGTGTAGGTCAAAAAGAGTGTAGGTCAAAGGTTGAATGACGAATCCATGCTGCGGCCGTTGAAAATCGATCGGTGAATTATTCCATCTTGGTGTTTCCCAGAATTCTTCAATTTGTTGAGTCTTGATATATCTAATACATCTAAAAACGAAATTTTCCTTCTCACAAATATCTTTTTTAAAATACATTCTTAAATAATTTTGAAAAAAAAAATATATATATATATATATATATTTGTTTTCCAAAATAATTTTCGGAATCTTTTAAATAAAAATAAAATTATTTAAAAAAGACATTTACATTAAATTTATACAAACGTGGATATTTATTCTTTTGAAGTTGCGGATGTTAAACCACTTTTTTTGTTTCCTTTTTCGATATTATTCTTTAAAAAATACAATTATCAAGTCGGTATCAAAGAATTATTAATTACACTTTTTTCGCAGATATTAAAGAGAGAGAGAGAGAGAGAGAGAGAAGCCTTTCTAATGTGAACGAACGTAACAAAATTAATTATTATCGTTAAGATTATTTTAAAAAATATGCGCATATTTAATTTTTTTAACGAGTATCATGTGAAGAAAAGAATGTGCAGTTGCTCTTCAGGATAAACTTACGTATCTTGGTCTAACCGCCCCTTTCCTGTTTCCTCTTTTCACAAGCTTGCCGGCTAATCTCTAGGCCGCAGCATCCTGTGGGTGGAATCGTTTGCGTTATAAAGTTCCCCGGTCGAACTTGGAAATCATTAGTCTGAAAGTGCGCCTTCCACCTCTCGCAACTAGTTGCTTCAAACATGTATCTCCGCGTATCACGTTGACAATAATGTTAATCGAAGTGCGCTCCACATAATGTAGCAGTGAAAAGTATAAGGCACTGTAGAGTTAGAATAAATTAAATTCGTGTACAAATTAAAGAAATCGCATAAATTAATCATCTACTGATTGAAAGATAATATTCGATCATGAAGTAAATTGTAAACGTAACGAGAGTGTCATTTGCGAAAAATTAAAAGTAAAAGTTATTCTTATCAGGTGAAATATAATCAGATAAACGCCAACGGGGGAAAAAAAGATACTATCTTGTAATCGCTAATATGGTTTGTAATTTCAGTGTTTCCATAATATGTAAATGGAACGCGCATAAATATCTATTATATGTGACATAAATTATGATTAGTAAAGTCTCTCAGTTATTTATAGCATTTATAGCATAAAACAGTGTCGGCAGTGAAGATATTATCAAACGTACGATTACGTTGCGGCTCGTCATCGGGCACTTTGCTTCTTTTTTTATGCAAGCTGCCTTTTGAAGGGCAACACTGTGATCGGGCATACTCAGCGATGAAACTACACGAAACGTATATCATAGGAAATTTTAATTGCAGAAACACTAACGTATCCAAAGCACTCGATAATTTTTTTTTATTTTCGTTTCCTCTGTAAAACACGGCATGTATCCTTTTCACTGAATTAATATCAGATGAAACAAAGATTTGTATTGTGATGCGTGATGATCATATCACATATATTATTAATAAAATATAATTAATAAAATATTTTCCAGTAATTGTTTCAACACTCCTGCAATCTTCCCCTCAGAAGTACGTACCTAAATTAATCGCAATACCTTTCAACCAGGTCGTATTTCTACGGTAAGTTTTGTAAAAAATATCGTTATAAGAAATCTTCTTCGCAGCGGACAGTAATTTATTCAACTTTTTGGTACACATCCATTGGTGCGACATCACAATTCACGTAAATGTGTTAATAATTATTCCTTGTTAATATTAGTATCTCGATATTTATTACGATCTTTTCGTATGCACGAGCTTATACATTTGTGGAAATGTGTTTGTTGCTTCAAATTTGCAACGAATATCAGTTATCGTGTCATTCACACGATTTAGCTGTATTAGTTATATCTTGTTCAATTCATAAATCAAGTATATCGCTTTATTTCGCTATTTAATTCTTGCGTGTGATTATTCTCTGTAATTACACGAGTCTTGACGATTTATACATACATTGCAGAATGATAGCTGTATTAAAGTGATAAATAAATTATGCTACTTAACCTGCAGATCGATTTGTATAGTTATATATTGCCTAGCTTTAATGCCGATGATAAAATAATATAGTAATAGTAGAATAAGGTTAATAATAATAGAATTATAATAATTATATATTCAGGTAACTTTAAAAACATTACTAAATTATGTCTATAAATATAAAAGCAACAATGTGATTTAATTAAACGATTGTTTTTTTTTTTATAAGAATGGATAGTTATCAAATTAAGATTCTGCACATTACTTTAATTAAAATATAATGTTAACTTAATGCAACAGTAGAGTGATCGGTTCTACTTCTGTATCTTTATTGCTTCTGATTTTATCGTTTCACTTGGACGTAAAATAACGATCCTTTTCCTTTTCATCTCTCTAAGATGACCGATATATCTCTCGTTCACTCCTCTTTGTACAAATCACAGATTTTTGATAATAAACAATTAATGCGCTGTCCTTGGAACCTGCAACGCAGGTTCAGGGCAAGTACAGCTCGCTATTTCTCCCTTTTTTCCTTTTTATCTAAAAATATGACATGCGACTTCGACGTACTTCGCTTAAAATCTGTCTCCTATAAAAAGTCAGTCTCATCGTCTATAAGGTCGCGATAGTGTCTTAGTCTCCCTAGAAGTCTATGTACACCATTTGCGGCGAGGATAACGATGGTGATCAATTGTTCAAAATTGAACGTTCCTCGAGATTCATCGGCGCTAAGCTTCTATGCTAATCAACAGACCTTAAGTACACGCGACTTAAAATTTTGATATTGACTCTCCGCATGTATATACAAAATATTAATAAAAATGACATCAATGAATAGAAATTCGAAATATTTACTTCACGAAATTAACAAAAGCTAAATATATAGTTGCTAATGGTATTTATTCCAAGTAGTTTACGGCTTTACATAAATATTTATATGTATTCTTCTATGTGATTTTTTTCTCATTCACTCTTTCTCTCTCTCTCTCTCTCTCTCTCTCTCTCTCTCTCTCTCTCTCTCTCCAGCAACATTTTTTACGAATCTCGTAAAACGCTACCGAAGCGTCGGATGAAATTAAATACATCATGCAACGTGTGCCGAAGATGTGCCCATAGGACTGCGAAAGAATACGCGATCTCCTTCTAATACTGCTCTCAAATATTAAAATAAATTACATTCACACCCTGTTCTTCCACGCGGCACTTGTTTAAAATTCTCTTAATCTAAATTAACGGCACACGTTCGGATCACGCATTCTCGATTTCATGAACAAACTAGAATGATTTGGAATTCGATCGTAGATCATAATTATAAATATGCCTTTTCGGAAGATCCAATACCCAAATAAAAACAACTACGAACGAGAAACGAATTTAAAAATTAAAAAAACCTTTTTGAACACGACATAAAAATTATAATTTAATACAGTACTAATTAATAAAATGCTTTCAAATTTTTATTTTAGCGTTTCCTTTTCATATATATAATATGAAACTCTTTCATTATTATATCGGATTATACATAATTGTAATATATAATTATATATAATATTATATTGCGATATATATATATATATATATAATTATATATATTATCATATTGCGGGTATAATTATTTACATTCTTTTGCAGATATTGCATTTTCCCGAAAAAATCTTTTTGTTTCATGCGCCCTATTTGATTAAAAAAAAAAAAAAGGAAAAAAAATTGTATCTCACAAATGTACAATTTTCGCCGCAGGATACCACCGATATCCAGCGCCGCGTTGAAGGGAAAACGTTGTCGCGTATCCTAAAACTTCCCCCCAAATTCGACCTATGATAAAATTCTGTCTTATAATTAAATGTCTTGTAAAGTCTCAAGAGTTAGAACTATAAAAAAAAAAAAAAAAAAAAAAAAAATTAAAAACACAGAATTCTTATTATTTTTTTTTGCATAACGGAAGGGTACTTCTGATACCCTTCAATACCTCGTGGTCATAAATTTATCATTGAGGTATATTATTTTTAAACTTTATATCATATTGCATAATTATATTAGTTGACCACTGACTGGAACGAATTGGAACAAACGTTCGAGCGATCGTGAAGCTAGAGCAACGTTTGACCAATTAGAATGTTAAAACAGGTTGAATATAATATTATGAGATTAATATTGATTGGGAGCGTATCGCATTTCATTTAACTTTACTCGTGCATAATGTATAGGTCTGTGTTCTTTTTCAAAAAACTTTTAACTAGTGCAATAAAATGAAACAACTATACCTGTCTTACTCTAACTTATTGTACCAGTACACACCAGTTCAGAATTTGGAGTGGAAAAGGAACAGACCTTGTGTGTTTATTTATAATAAATACACATTAAATTTCGACGTATTGTTAGAAAGAAAGATTTATAATTTGTAACGTTAGACAATATAAATCTCCTCAAGAGCTTCACGATCGTGCGCTAGATAAAAAGAATAAAACCAGGTAGACAGCTGAACGGACAGCAGGACACCTGTCAGATATAACAGGAATTTATTCGAAAACGATTCTTTCTCGGTTATTCTGTTATGGCTAGTATCCGAAAAGATAAAACTTTTTCCAAACTGTATCTTGTAATCAAATAAAAAGTCAATTTCGATCGGAATTGTTTTCGAATAGATCGAACGCGTGCAGTTGACGAAATTGAATAGATTAATGATGCATGACATTATCATCTCAATTCCTCTCTCGTTACCCAGTTTTTTTCCGAGGTTATCGCGAAAATACAAAATGGTCCACAAAAATGTAGCTCTTAACCAATATCGATAAAAATATTATTACTAATAAAATATGCTGTGCATATTTTATTTTATTATATTATAAATATAATTATAAATATATAATTATAAAATAATATATTTTACTATATTATTTTATCATAAAATATGCACATATTATTTCATTAGTAATATTTTTAAAATGCTAAACAACGTTCTTCAATAACATGCATTAACAAACGATAAAACATTTCTTTCAAAACGTAATATTTCTAACTTTTCTGCATTCATAAAAACTCTTAGACCCTATTAACGTATCGAGCTGTCTTTTCGTGCACTATCATCTTGTAAATAGGAAACCGGTCTAACCTGGTTCTATCTGACCTATCTCCAGCTCTCGGAGTTATGCTACGAGCGATGAAAAGTCGTGAACTTTATTTCGAACGAGATGAGTAGAGAGGGTTTCAGCCAGCGATCAATGTTGCAGCGAATGTAAGCGTATCTCCATTACGGTCGTCATTGTCATCGTCACTGTTACTGTTATCGTTATCATCACCGTTGTCGTCGTTGTCACATCGCGATGGTCACCAGAAGTGCGACTGCACGTAACCGCCGCTACCGCCGCCTCCCATTCCGATCGGATTAAATCGATGCGGGTGTATCTTCTCCATCCGCATGGCACCCGGACCACCGCCACCGCCGCCGCCGCCGCCGCCGCCGCCTCCGCCGCCGCCGCCGCCGCCTCCACCCAGGAAGCTGCCACTGTGAGGCCCACCACCACGCGGCCCAAAACCACCAGCCCGGCTCAACATTCCCGGACCACCGCCGCCAACACCCATGCCCATTCCAGGACCCCCGATGCCCCGAGCCCGTCCGCTGCCGCCACCGCCGACTCCGAGTCCGCTACCTCCTGGAAAATTGAGAATGCCTAAGATGAAAGGGGATAGTTAAAGCTCTTCTCGAAACGCGAGTCTCGATACCGACGTTTCTCCTCCGTATCTTTTTTTTTTTTAACGCAATTTGCCATATTTTTAATGGTATAAAGATATTTCATTATTTTTTAATTAAATTTGCTTATATACACAAATTAAATGTATTTTAATGTATTTAGGATAAATAAATTTTTCCATGAGACAGTCTTTATATTTGACTTTCAGTTTTTTTCGAGAAATGTTAAAGAGGCGAAGGAGAAGCGTATTTATTTATTTATTTATTTTTTTTAAAGAAGGTAGTGTGAATGACTTAGACTGGATATATGTCGGTTTCTAATATTTTAATCAAATTTAATGAGCGACCGCGGTGAGGAAACTTGCGATTGCGGCAACGAGAATAGGAAAGATGTAAGATATCGATTAGAAGATCTCCGGAGGATTATTAACGACGTGTTTCTTTTTCTATTTTCACTTTTGAAACGTCAGTCCTCCGGAGTGTTACTTTTTGTCCTGATGATTTGCTTTTTCGCGAAGAGAAGCTTCGTCGTACTTCAACTCCGATTGTCGAGAGCATAAAAAAAAACTCCATCGAGATCGGAGATAAGCGAAAAAAAGACATTCGCGCACAATGCCTGCGATCTCTGATTTTCAACACTTAATTTTAATTAGTGTAATCCCCGCGGGAAACGAATTTGTACAAAAGTATCACAGAGAGCCATTATTTCTGTGTGTGTGCGTGTGTGATATAGTTTATTTTATTTTTTCACTCTTTCGCAAAATTGGATTCGTCGAGAGAGTGTCTGGATGCGCTTAAATTCGATTCAACGTCGCGCGAGGGATCTATCGATTATACATCATCAGCACAAAAAGCGGCGGTTGATACAATAATTCACATTTAATGTTCAATACGTTTAAATACAAATATCCGTACAACGAGATACGAACATTGATCTGTAACTATACTGTGTCATAATTGCGTGTTTCTATGTTTTTATGTATGTATATACTTAATCGCTCTGTGTGTGTGTGTGTGTGTGTGTGTGTGTGTGTGTGTGTGTGTGTGTGTGTGTGTGTACGTGTATCGCATTGTTGTAAACACTGATGTTATAACGAGATACTAGACTCGCCTAACGACGATAACGTTCGCTAATTCAGAGTTTCCGTAGACTATATATGTATTTTTATGTCATAACGAACAAGAGAAAAATATGATGAATATATCATCGAGAATGTCGCGAGTGTTCTCAAACGAGGTCGAAGAAGCCGAATTTTTTTCCTCTCTAAAATTTTTTAATGTTCCCAAACTGTCGCATTTTTCCTCTGTCAGTATCTTGTAATTTGCAATATTAAAAAATATGCAATTTACTAAAAACTAACTGTAGTATTTTATATTCGGCACTAAAAAGGTCAAAATTTATGAATTAGGATTTACCTCGGGTAAGTAACTTTACCGTTATGTTGAAATCCATGATGAAACGTTTCTTTACAAATTCATTATTTTTTTAACCAAGACAAATGCGACAATTTTACGAACACCCCGCGCACTGTTTACTAAGCCATTATTTACTTAGCCATAATCAATATTGTGCAAATAAAGTACGACGCTATGAAGAAGCTGTTTTTTCGATGTATCAGTTTGCTGTTACTTTTCGGACATAATTATATCTATCGGTGTATCGTACACGGCTAATACTATATCGAAATTAATATATCGGCATTAAAAATTAGATCGAAAGAGAGGAAGAGAAGCTTCGCTACTAATCCATTTGTTTCGTCAGTATATTTTTTCTTTTTGCAATTCTCGTTAGTATTTCCTTATCCTTATCACAGCCATCGTTAGCACTACTGGACTTCGGGATTAACCATTTCGCACATTCTTCGATCCGTTAGACCTTACAATTTACTACTTAACAGTTAAAATTTAACCTAGTTACAATTGCATCTTTCGATTAGACGCCAAGTCGAGCTCGCATTTCGGACATTCAGTCGCAAATTAAAAAAGAAAAAAAAAG